TTTCCCATAGGAAAGCAGATTATGAAAACTGAATAAAATTTTAGTGCCTTTTGAGCATGAGAATTTGGAGGCAATTCTCTCTGGTTAACCTTGGCCAAATAAAGGTAGGTAGTAAAGGCCACTGTTTTCCACATGCCTGAGAAAATACTATCACAAAAAATTAATATTATCTCTGACTGTGGAAGGATGCTTGCTCTTCTCTCTGCCATTCTCCTGATGCTGAGACTATGGGAAACTCCACATCACAGTTCATCTGCTCATCAGAACTGGCAGGTACCCCTCTGTGTTCTCTCCACATCTCTTTGAGAAAAAGAACTGAAAACAAAATCACCAACACAAACATGAGACAAAAAAATCACCTAAACCAAGTAATATTAAAATAATTTTAAATTATCTAAAAAAAAATTTAATTCCTATATCGCTAATTTTCCAATTGAATGCATCATGCCTAGAATTAGCAGCTAAGATAAGTGAATTTTAGTATATTCAATGTTTTTATTACATTCCCAAGGTCCTTTCACTGATAGCTTAGATAGCTATTTCAGTTCCACCCAAGGAGCAGGCTTGTAGCCCACAAGACCTGTAGGTCTCAAAAAAACCTCTTCTTCCCCTCCCCTTACACTCCCCCACTTTTAGATCTCATCACTTCAATTGCCTGAAGGCTGGCTTCAGGTTTCTTAATACTCATATTATGACAATTTTTCAGTGAGACAATTGTTTTGCCCCCAAATGCACCACAAAGCAATATTATTGTCCTGGGACAGCCGAGAACTCTGCCTGGTAGAAATCAAGCGAGCGTCACAGAAGTCACTGAAACATTTCTCACCTCACAGGCAGAAATGTGGGAGGAAGGGTTTACCTAACACACACTCTGGGAACTTTTCCAAAATCTTTATTTAAGAAGTGTTTAGTCTGACACAGTTCCCTCCAAAGCCCTGGAGAGATGCTAGAAATATCCACGTGAGGATAACGCATGAATGAAAGAGACACACTAAAATCCTGCTCCAAACTATGGTTCATGTCACTTTGTCTCAAGGCAGATCTGCACTTCAACCACGGAAACTCCGACCCCGCACTGCTGTCTTCCTCAGCACATTCCTGCTGGATGACACTTTACATGAACATGTGTGAAATTCGTACCAGAAGACTCATCTGTCACACATCTCTCTCTTACACCAAGGATTGTCGTGTATTTTCTTCTGATGTTCTACTTTAAAAAAAACCCAAAAAGCACTGCTGATGACAGCATGCCAGATGAGAAGGATATTTGATCTGATTTAATATGGCAATTGCTTGCTCAGCTATTTTATTAATTGAGACCATTAGCAATAACTGTAACCAGTTACTGGAAATAATTTGTTGCCTGAAATTTGCAACCAAGAAGTTGCAGCCCTGCTACTGCTCCATCAGGTCCTTCCCAACTGTAGTCCAGAAAAGTTTTTCCTTCAAATTATCAAACAAAGCATCTTCACAAAAACAAATAAAAAAAGAAAAATCAGAAAAAGCAGCTCCTGACTCTTTCCAGTTTTTCTCTGCATCCAACCGCTCCACAGCATGTCCAGCCCAGCCTGACAGCAATCAGGATCACACCTCCTCTGCAGCACTCCACGTTTCATTGCAATTTCCTTCTGGATCAAATCTTTTGACTGCAATTCCTGGCTCACCCTAGAAGTTCTCAGGATCAATCCAGCCATTATCATCCAATACATAAATCAAGCTTTCCATAAAGCTTTTGCAGTAACTTCTTCAGATCTCCAAATAAATTAGGTACTCTTTGTATGATTCTTGTTTAGACATACAAACTTCCTCTTATTATAAATTCAGATCAGAGCACAGTCACGTTGCTCCTGCATTGTGAAAGCAAACAATATGAGTGGAAGGAGTGGTTGCACCAACAGCCCAATTCCTAAATTTAGTGCCCCTGTCTCTTTTCAGTAACAGCTTTTTAAGGGCAAGCTGTGCTATCTCACAATGATTCCTCACCACACACCCCTCCACCATGCACAGGGAATCCTGACAGCATGAGCCCAGCAGTCACCAAGAACCCCAGGGAGCTCTGGGGCTACTTCATGCACACGTTCAAGAGGTAGAGAAATCTGCCCCCCTGGATGTTGCCTCTGAGGAAAACTAGTGGAGGCAGCAGGTCTGTAGAAGCATAAGAAATATTGATGTCTTCAATCAGTAATCATGAATGGCAAGAGTAACAGCTCCTTCTGTTCTCTCCTCCCCAACACAGAGTTGTGGTGTCACCCAACCAAATCCAAAGTTGGTATTTTTCCTTCAGCGAGGTTAGAGCTCTTTCCTCCTCATATCCACTTCATTCTCCATAACCATTTACTTTATGGAATATTTATCTTTCAAATCTCAAAAAAAGCAAATCAAATTACAAAATATCCTTCCTAATTTAAATAATTCCTTTCCATTTTAACCTTTGCATGGCTTTCAGCAAACTAAAAGTCCAGAACAAGGCTGACAAGTTCAGTAGTGAGTGGGATGAAATTGAACAACAGTGCATCATCTTGTCCCAGGGCCCTCTTTGTATCTTTACTGTTCATTGTTCCCTTTTTTCCCTTAAAGTAAAATACCAAGGAAATAAACTTTCTACTTTACTATTTCTTAAAAAATGAAGTTTACAAAACTTCAAAATCACACATAAAATCAGATAAATCTATATAGTCCCACCTCAGTTTGTCATCTCTTTCAAAATGTTTAAATGCTAAAACATTGGTTCTGCATATGTAGCAAACAGACTAAAACAGAATGACATGTCAGCAATCTGCCTGTTATCCAATGTGACAACTATGTTTCTCACTCAGAATAACCAGTCTCTCAGAAGAGCAATGTGTATCACAATTCTCTCAGTTTTCAGTAGTACACTATCTCCATTTCTCCAGGGACATTATCTCTGAACAACATATCCCTCTGCCCTTGGAACCATCAAACTGACATTTGACAAAACTGTGGATGGCTTGTAGGTTAAATTTAAAACTGTTGAACCTTCCCTTGCACATCTCACTGAGCTCTGGCCTCCCACGGAAACAATTAGGAAGGCCAAAATCAGAGCTGGTGGGAAACGTTCTAGCACTGGTCAGTACAATTCACATGGAAAAAAATATCCATCTCCTGCTTATCTGCAGGTAGAAAAGTTTGGGGAGTATATAACCTGCTGTAACCAAAAGGTGTGGGGATGTCATGGTGCTGATGGCTGTACTCAGAATATTTTATCTTGTACAGGCAGGTGCACATGAGGGCATTATGCCAATATATTTGATTTTCTTTTTGTCATCAATATTGATAGCCTAGCATGTTATAAAACAGAGGCAGCATTTTTCTAACATAAAAACCTCACAGGATTATGATGACTAAAATGACAGCTAAGAACATACTGATCAGCAGAAATTATGGAAATTAATAGATCTGTTTCTTAAATTAAGTTTTGACCTTAATGAAGATTCAAGCTGAGAAAACTTAACACTTCACTGAATACCCACAATAAATTCTAATCATACCCTACAACTTATCTGGGACTCTAGGGATGAAAGTTGGCAGGGTTATGCAGACAGTTTGCTTCAACAAGGTCAGTTGGCTTTTCAGGTCAATAAAACATAACAGAAATTGCACCTCCAACTGCTGAATAAATGTTTCTGCATACCAATCACTGAATTCCAGTGAAATCAACCATAAGGACAACCACATAGCATAATGCCTTTCTTTAGGCTCTCTTGAGCTAGAGAGATTTTCAATCAATGTTGAGTATGCTCAGATAGAAATGCAAAGTTGTCACATTCAGAGAATAATTTCATCATGGCCAACTCCATAACAAATGCATTTAATTACCTTCTGGAAGCAAGAAAGATTCTGAAAATAAATTGTTGAAGTATTTTCACAATCTGGGTGTAATAACTATCTCTTCAAGCACATAAAAATGTGACAGACAGACAGTAAATTTAGATTTAGATCATCCAATTCTTTACTGCAATCTATAAGCCTCAAATTTCAGAAACAAAACTTTTCAGCTGGAAAGTAACTTGTGATTGTGGCATGCACTACAGCACATCAGGAGGAAAAAAAAAAAGTCTTGTCATCTTTTTGCAATGAACCATCTTTAGCTGTGTTGAAGACAACCCTGTCAGAGATTCTCTGACATGCCAGAACTGTGAATTGTGCTTGGAGAAGCACAAGAGGAAACATCAAAAAGATGTGTTAAGGCTTTGCTAACTTACAATTTACAGCCACCCATAAGCATGAGAAAGAAAATTAGCATCAAGGCCTACTAAGAGAAAAACGTCAACCAGATCAATTTTTACTTCCAACAAGCACTACAAGACATGTAATACTTGGTAAGTTTACTCAGAAACAGTGTGCAGAGCCAAATGCCAGCTAAACTAATCTACAACCTGGAAGAATTTAAAACACAAATCTGACTAGATGAGGTTACATACAAACACAGCATAAAAACACATACAGACAACTCCTTTACAGTTATGTGCTGGTCCAGAATCTGACCAGCAAAAACAGCTAAAAGTTTCTGAACCACCTCATATTCTGTTTGTAAGCAGTAAAACTGGCAATGGCAAAGTATCAAGAATAGGTCTCTGATCTTCAGTATAAATCTCCCTGTACACAACTGTCACTGTTCTTTACCTGCTGGGTTGGTTTATCTACCAAAAAATTATTCCCAATTTTGGACTCCCTAAACAAAGATAATACAAGCAAAACCAAAAGAAGAAAACATCTTCACACAAAACAACATATGAATTGAATATGTTGTTAATAAACTTTTTTTCTTATAGGTGTTCAATAAAAAGATTCATTTACTGGAAAGTTTCTGGTCTAGAAATGGAATGACCAAAAACTTCACAACAGGGACAAGTGGAATAAAAACAACAAAATACAAACAGAAGTTAATAATGTGGAATCAAAACAACCAAATAAATGAAGCATCAATGAAAATTTTCATTGTGGAAGGAGCATTAAGTAGGAGAGCAGAAAATACTGACCTGGAAGTCAAGCTGGTTGGAGAAGGGATGAAAGCAGCAGTTTGGAGAAAAACAGATAGGGAGGAAGACAGCAAAAGAGAATAAAGGGAGGAACACATTAGTTCTTCAAAAATATAACAAGCAGATGTTATATTAGCAGATTATTAAAAAGAAAAAAAAAAAAGTAAAGGGAAGGGAAGGAAAAGCAAGAACTAAAATGAAATTTCTGCAGAGCTACATCCTTCCTGTGCACTGAAGAAAATAAACTTTAAATCAAAAGGGTATCTTGTTGGATAAAAGGCTATCTTGGTGGACAGTAGATAGACATCCACATTTATAACCATTCAAATTCCAAATTCACATACACACCAAATAGAACAAATAAATTGGATCAATATTGGTAGCAGTTGCTGGCCCACAAACATCTCGTCATATGCCACAAAGTCTTTCATTTGAACTGTCACAGGCTGGTGACCCTCATTCACCAAGTCTTCCAGTAGAAGTCAAAGCAGCTAAACAATTTGGCAACTTGTTCAAAGATATTTAGAAGTTCACAAAGCACTGTAGCTAATAATCAAAGATGAAGATTTGACACCCCACCCCACCCACAAAATGCAGCCCCTTCCAATGCTGACAGCAAATTTTTAATTCAGCATGAAGAAGAGAATTGATACTTTGGCCTGAAAATACTCTGATTTTTTTATAACTTTATTTGTTAAAAAATACCTAACACACCCATTTCAAAAAAGCAAGGTCAAAAAAACCCCCACCCAGCTAGACTAGTCCTTAAATCAATCTCTGACACAGCATTTTGTGCATTAAGGAAAAGGAGCATATTTAACAGCCATAAAATTACTTTTTTAAAAAAGCAATTATTCCACATGCTGATGTTTTGTCTCTTGTGTAATAACTTGTCACTGCTGTGTAGACTTACCTTCATTAGAATTCAAATCCAAATCAATTCAGAATGAATTAATTGTAGTTTGAATACCCCAAGAGCTTGACTACACATCTATAGTGCTATAAACCCACTGCATATGAGAAGTAGGTAACAAAAACAAAAAACAACTTCTTGTTTAAGAACAAAAAGGTTTGTCTCATAGCTAGCAATCTTCACCATGTTGTCATCACTTCCTTTCTCTTTTCAGTCTAAATTTACCAATGGATAATTTATATTGTACTATGTGCCAGTGCTCTTTCACCGAAATCACTCTTCTTTCCCTGCAGTGCTTACCCCTTCCCATAGTTACACAGAACAAGCATCCCTGCAGAGCTTTGTTGTACCAGAGAAACAAACCACTGTTGCTTAAACTCCTCCTGTGTCATGAGCACTTCATTCCTTCTTACCAGCCCTCTCTGCACCTGTTGCCAGCTTTAATTCAACTTCCAGGCATATGACCGATGAGAAGTACACAGCAGAGTTCCACACAGAGCCTTGCCAGCACCTGATGACATTAATACCTTCCTGTCCTTCCTGGAGATATTTATCTGACATTTCAGGATTCACTCTTCATTATTTATATCTCTGCTTCATTATTTAGATGGTTCATAGTGACACAGCCATAAGGAAATTCACCCAATCTTTCTTTTCCTGAACTGTATCAAGGATTATCCTTAGTTTATGTCAGCCAGCCTTACTGGTCCCAACTTCACAAACGTGCATTTTATGCCACTGTATTTCACTTCATTTTGTGATTCAAACTCTCTATCACATTTTATAAACATACTTCCCATTCTAACACTATTAATAAAAGCTTTAAACAATACACTCCCTCAATCCTGACAGTTCTGTTTCAGCTGCAGCTCCCTCTCCTTGGTGAGCCTGTTTGCATTAAAACTTGAGCTGATCATTACCTTATCCAGTTTCATTTACATTATTTTTAAAAAAACTCACAAAAATAAAAACCAAAAAACCCTGAACCACATTTCTTTCATCATGAAAACCAAAGAAAATCAGCAAGCTAAATTTAACAAAAGCACATTGTTCATTAAATGTAATATCTTGCATTTGATTTTAAACTTTTTAAAATTATAAACAGATAAATTGTGAAAATTTTAATAAAAGTTATCAAATAGCTTAAGTGTAGTAGCAGTAGTTTCTCCTGTGTAGTAATAAGAAACTGTAAAATAAAAGTTAATATAGGGAGAGTAATTAAAGAAACAGACCAACATGATTTTATATGAGCAATAATATTAATCTAAAGTGGTGATGCTCAGGAGAGTGATAGTTTCTGAGCCAAGAAAATCACATTAAAACCAAAAGAATTACCATTCATATGAAGACTTCTTCATAATTATTAATAATGTTCATTTGCCAAGTAGCACACACTTATAAATTTAACTGCCCATATCTCAAAGAAGATATTTCTGCCTGAGTATTTGACACTTCATGTGTCAATATTTCTGTCTAGTAGAACATTCATCTAGTATTCATCTCCTTGTTTTAATTTCTGTTTGAATTTGTAAATGATAACTTTATTACAATTATTTTTACTTTTCAAATTTATTTATACAAGCACACCTCATTATGTTGAAGAATTCCTATGTGAATATAACAGATACTGTGAGGATACCACAGCTTGCAATAGTCTAGATTATCATTTCCTCAGACATTTATATCGATATATTTTGAAAATTTATGTTGTTGCAATTATCTTGCAATGTAAAGATGTCGGCATAGCAGTGAACATGGATCCCAGCAAGCCATGAATGAATAAATGCATTTTAATGCCACATTCATTTTCCTACTGGACCCCAGAGATGCCCTTGCATCTGAAGTTTGAGGAAATGCCCAATATATGCTAAAGGTCCATAGCAAAGTTAAACCACCCCATCACATTCTAAGTACAGTACTTTCTCTTCAAAAGTCTGTGTTCACTCAGCAGTAGCACATTATTTTCTGAGAAGTTATTTCAGGGTCAACACCCTCATCAGCAATAACAGACTAGAAATTGGTGCTCCTAAACTTCACTGCTAAGAGTATAACAAATTTGAAAAGCAAATGAATACAAAAATAGAAAATTCTCACCCATTACAGGATTCTCAGACAACAGGAACAGATTGCATGCTGACAATAGTGTACCAGTATCTCTGGACTCTTTAGTACCTTGTATCTTTTTAATTGTTTTGTAATTAATAATTCTCAATTCAAATTAATTTACTGCTCTCTGTAAATTCTTCATCTCTTTTAAAGTATTTAAATCAATTAACATTTCCAGAAATTTGAGATCGTAAGCTTCAGTACTTCATCATGACCATCCTTTAATTTTGTCATTTTAATATTCAAACTTTCAACTAATTCATGTTTGCTATCTAATAAAGGTCTTAAGATTATCCTCCCAAACCCAAGATTGCTGTGCCTACTAATGAGTCTGGTGCCACACAGTAATTCAGTGTTACAATGTAAGAAGGGGATCAGTTGCTGTTTACACCTGGTGGTCACACCTGGAGTTGCTGCATTCCAAGTCTGGGTCTGTAATTGCCCCTGCACCACTGCATGGAAAAGGCAGCACTTTCTCATTCACACAAAACCTTTAACTGTGGTGTATTTGCCTATCTGCTGCTTTAGGATTTTGGAGAGTGTAGGCAGAGCTCACAGGCATGGTGCACAACGCGACCACTTGATTATTCAGTTCCTCTGGGACCTCCTTTACACATTCAAATAGATGCAAACACTTGAGTATTTAAACTCTGATGTGCTGAGAGAGACAGCTGCCAATTGAAGTTGCTCTCATGTAAACAATCAGCTCTATTTTAAATACAAATCTTCTCTCACTTTGAATTTGAGGTCTCCATTCTCATGACACTTAACCATTACTGAACTATACCAAATATCTGCAAAGAGTAACAAGTTTTGGCAGCAGGTAGCTGTGAAGGTTTCTAAGTCATCCTCAGTAAAAGGTGCCCTCTACATCTTTCTTTTCATGCTGGCTGTTTTATGCATGGTACCTCTCTTTCATGGTAATGCTCCCTAATGGGTGCTTTCTCTTGACTGGAACTATAGCAATGATCACAAAGTGAAATCACTTAAACTTCTTTTTTGGAACCATGAAACAGTTTTCTTCTGATTTGATCACAATCAAAAAAAATTATATAAATTATTTGAAAACATAGAATTCCTTCTTTCATTCAAGAATGAGAGCCTAATTAAAGGAAGAGAACAAATAAAACAGATCAATCAAATAAATAGAAGGACCCCATACAGGAGAAGGTTCCAAGATCTATTTAATTACAAAGGACATCAGACAAATCCTTAAACCCTCCTCTCTCCATTATGGAAGGTCTCTACAATCTTCCCAGAAACAAGACAGTCCCTGCCTGGTCAATGTCAGAAAATATTCTTTTGAAGCAAACAAAGACTATGGGAACACCGAAAAATAGTTACAAATATTATTAAGTAGTCGTGAGATGGGTCAGAAATACTTACCAATACTTTTCATGACCTCTGAGAATGACTGATAATGCTCCTACTTGAAGAAACATGTGAGGGCAGGTTTGATTAACCAGTCACTAAAAAGACACGCTTGTTCCCCAATAAGTTTTTTAGGGGGGGTTGCTGTGCCTGTAAATTGCACAGGCAATTTCCTGTACATGCTTGTTTTATGAATAGTATTAAAAAATGGAAACCTTAAATTTTTCCAAAGTCAGTTGACAGAAGATGCAGTTCTCAAGTAGCCCTTTTTTGTTCTTTTACAAAGCATAACAAATATTCTCTTAAAAAACATACTCCACTTTTAACTTCTCTGCTTCTGAAATGAAGATCAAGTAAGCAAAAATGCTACTCAATGTAAGACAATACAAAAATTACCTTTCTAACTCAGCAATTTTCTTATCTTTGTCATTCTTCTCATTCTCTACTTCCTTGAGTATTTCTAGAAGTCTGTCAACCTCAGCCTGAGCTTTGCCACATTCTTCTCTATAGTACGAGGCCTCCTTGTCAAGTTGCTTCATTCTGTCTGCAAATTCTGGATTCATCCGTGCCTCCTCTTCAGCTTCATGAGCCTTCAGAATCAATATTTCAAAAAAGATAAGGATGACAATAACTTAAATAGCTTTAAGAGCTTTACTTCTTCAGTCTCGGAGTTCAAGATCACATTAAAAAGGATTATGGGTATTCCTGTCTGATGCATTATAGAAAGACACAAAAGTATCTACATAGTCCAATACTGTTGTCCTGAAAGGGGAGGGGATTTATTAAGGGGGTTTTTACATATTAAAGTGACCACCCCTTTAAAGGTGTTTTTTCAAATTTAACAAAAAACTCACCTTGTAATTAATTAAATTCAGTGTATTTTGAAGATATAGGCAAATTCTTAAGAAATCAATCATGTCTTCTTTCCAAATATATAAACACATACACTTCGTCTATGTATAAATATACAAACACAGATACATATATACATGTTGTATATATCTGTATCTCCAGATGTCTCAAATGCAGTTTGATACAAAGAATTTAAAGGAAAGAAATTGCTTTTAATGCAGAGGTGATCTTAAAAGATAAACCAATAAACTAAGAAACTGCTTTCAGCAGACATCTTACCCAATAATCCTTTTTAGCCTATCATTAATACTTAACCTGAAACATCAGAGGAACAAGCCCATTGGTGAAAACAGCACAAACCTGGCGAACACATGCATGGATGGGTGGGAGTTTCACAGACAAGAGAGAAGGCAATGAAAACAACAACAGTGCAGAGCCCAGTCCAGCTCCCATCAAACCTAATGGCAAAACCCATTAACTTCAATGGGAGCACGACCTGGCACCGAGTGCTTTCAACTGTTGGCTGCAATAATCACAGACAGATGGAAACAACGATGCACTGCAATGCTTAGCCTACCCCTTGCTTCCCATTATTCCTAATTGGCATCTTGAAAGAGCAGGCAAGGAAAAAAGAAGTAGTTTAAGGCAGTGCACATTAAACATAGAAAATTCAGGTAACATACAGGATTTTTTACAGAAATTCACAGTATTTCAAACTGAAGATCCTCCAACTATCTTAGTATGCAGAGAAGACATGGACTTACTTATCCTTCTTAATTTCAGGGAATGGACAATGCAAGCAAGCAATGAAAGAAATGCAGATCAAAATGAAGCATGCATGTTTGGGAAAGAATTAATATAAACTACAGGTACTAGAAGGTACATATTCTTTGCAATGGTTAAAGTTTTCTGTATAAATAAAGAACAAGTCTGAGTTTATTATAAATAAACAAAAAATTGAAATTAGTAGGGAAAAAACTTAGCGGGTTTGCATGTAACATATCATTTAAGCATGAGGATAATAAGAAACAGATAGTAGATTTGAAGTGTTATTTATCCTACTTGGAGGTTTTTATTCAGAGGAAATATTTCATCACCAAAAGAAGCCAAGGGAATGACATGAGGAGCCTAATAAACCTACTGACCTTGCTCTTCAAAATCTCTGTTTTGATACATGCTCCAGTCCCGAATTCCATGCAGATATAAGACTTTTTAAACCCAGAACTCATTTAAAGTAACATTCAAGGAGTATCTTGATTTTACTATTTGAGATGTCAGCAACAGATCCCTTTCAGGCTCATAATCTTCCTTACTGATAAACTTGTGTTTATTTTATACCAGTTGTTAATTGTATCAAGAAATTTACTTTCAAGTAGCTTTGTCATTTTTGAAGTCAATGTAATACTCGGATTCAAGGCCAATTACCTGAGAAAACACTTTGTCCATCAACCCTATTACAATATTATACACTTTTTTTATCATTATGTAATTTTGCAAGGAGGCATTTAAATTCCATAGGTAAATTCACTCTAGAAAAAGAAATATAACCCAACTCCCACCTTCAAGATACTAAGAAACTTATGCAAAAAGCATATTTTTCCCTAGTCTTCAGATTTCTCCTCCTCTCCTCCCAAGGGTAAATTCAGAATTTCACAGTTCTTCTCTAAATGCTATTGCTCTTTCATGTAATTCCCTGTCACCTTTCTGTTCTTTCCCTTTACTTTGGTACAAAATCAATTGCATACCAGCCTTGCTTCTATGGTTTCATAGAGAGGGAAAATACTTTCCTTCCTCTAACTAGACTTCACTTTAGCATAAAGTTAAGTCTCAGTTTCAGCCCATTTTTTTTCCCCATGTACCTCTATCCTTCTCTTATGCCAGAGCAAGAAGCAATGGAGATGGAGAGAAGCCTGTCTCTTTTTTATGTTTCATTGCCACACTGCACTTTCTGCAAAGAAAATGCATAACTGGGCAAGAACATCACCAATGCAGAGCTGCCAAATGTTCTACTACCATGGAGTATTCCTGTCACACAGCAGCTCAGAAATGTACTGAAAAGATTACCTACTGCACAGCTGATAAGCAAATCACCTCCTGAAATAATAAATGTATTCCTCACTTTAGCACTTTAAATCGCTGCTCAACAGCATGCTAAGGAAATCAACATTAAGGTGCAAAAATTTTCAGTTCTTGTGTTTTCTGTGGTACTCATGCTATTCCATATTTGTGGGCTGTGGTTTTGGAAAATTCTGCAGCACAAACTGGGTCACTGCATTTCCCCATCATGAAGTGGAACTTCTAAGGTATGATTAAATGTGATTAAGCATCCAACCAATGCCACATATAAATCAATGTAAGCATTAAGTTACTACAAGGTTGGTCTTAAAAATAAAAGAAAAAAAAATAAAACCAGCATTACAAACCACCAATTTAGCCAATCGCATCTACTTTTCAAAGCACTTGGAGAATCTTTTTTGGAGTATTGGCAGGAACCAGATTTCTACAAGGGTATTGCCCAAATGAAGAAGTAAAGGAAAGTTAGTTAAAAAGAGGGAGCAAGAACAATAAAAAATTTTTACAAAGAGCTTTCTGCAGGTGGAACTTTAACCTGCAAATCCCCTTAAGGGAATCTTCACATTGTAAACAAAGCTGCTGATACCAGAAAACAGCCAAACACAATCCATCTGACATCGCCAGGACAAAGGCATAGAATTATTTATAAGGCCCCATTTTATTTTATGGCTTTGAAAGACGTGTTTGAATGTGAACTAGGCACCTTTCTGAATTTGTTGTGTACAGATCAGGGGTGATTTGTTGACAGATGGAACTTGACTTTTGAGGTCAAACAGTAGGCCCAAAGGAGTTAAAAGGTTGCTCAGCTGATATGGACCCTGCTCCTGCCAGGACAGGGCAGATTCCTGTGGCATTTTTCAGGCTATAGACTGAACTGTTGGATCTAGTTCTAGGCAGAAGCTGCATAAATCACATGAATCAGAAATTCCCTGCCTATTTCTCCTGTCCTCTCCTTTTTCTGTTTAATTCCTGTCCTCTGTTTACTCCCTAAGTTCTCTGTTACCTTGGAAAACACATTTTCTGTTTCTATGGGGCTTGAGACCATGTGGGACTGGTCAATGTGTATTTTTCAGCCTTCTTAAACCTGTATCTGCAAATGATAACCCTTGTGTGTGCAGATGAGCTTAATTTCAAACTAACCCGCTCGCTTTATGATGCTATTTCTGCCAATATTATGACTGTGATGTTGTATATTATTTTTACAACTGAGCAAAAATAGCATATCACTCTACCATTAGAATGTCACAAATTTTTACATTAATTATACATCTGTTCTGATCTTTGCTTCATAAGCACTGCAAATGGTTTAGAAAAGTAACATTTCTTTATGTAAACCACAAATTTCCTACAGAAATATCATAACAGTGTGCCACAGACATGCAACATGAATTATTTAGGCTATTAAAATCTTATGCTACAGTCATGCATGTACTATTCTGCATAATAGAAATGGATGGATAGATAAGTATTTCATTTTTAAAGCTTCAGACACAAACATACACAGAAAGCAAGTGGGTACTTAAAATTTTAAAAAAAGAAAAGGAACAGCAGAATTTACATGCAAAGTATTTATTACTTTCTAAGATCCTTCAAATTTTATTACTTTCAAGAAAAAATGGGAAAAAGGATTGTTGTCACATGAATTTTCTTGTCTCCTTAAAATTCAGGAGGTTTTCATTTAAATTTAGGGACTGCTCTAAGTAATTTATAGTGTATTCTGCAAGTAGCTTAAATTTTAATCTGACATTTCTCTTACAGAAGATCTTGGAAAATTTAGTCTTTAATATTCAGAAAAAGGTTCACCTGAACTCCAGACTCAGTACAGCATGATATTTTCATGACAGCACAAAGACAATAATGCAATTTCTTACAATCAATTTTGCATAAAATCTCATTGGGTGTTTCAAAAAGTTCACCTTTAAAGCCTAAAGAAATGTATGTCCAATTCTATTTACAACTTATATATGTAGGAAAAGGAAGCAGGTAAGCAAGAGAAGTTTATTTTTAAAAAATCATGTAAGTATAGTACAATTGCCTGGTGTCAAAGGAAAAGGATCTTACATCCATTGCTTTGCAACTTCCAACAGGCTGTACTTTTGAAAATTAACCACATAAAGGCAGAAAAAACAGTTAAGAAAATGACTGACTTTGGAATATTGCACACAAACAGATTAGGAAGTAACAAATTAATTCTATACAGCAGAATCACTAATACTGATCTAATGACTGGCCAGTATTTATGAAAACCAAGCTAAAAACTAACAGTAAAAAAAACTCCAGTCTGAAAAGACACAGACAGGAGCAGGGCAAATTATGTGAATGGAAACATAACTACTACAGAAGTGACCCACGATGATAGGGAAAAAAAGGAGTTTACCACTGGAAAGGACAAGCTTTTTCTCCAGCTGTGCCAGAGGGTAGAGGTGATAATATCAGGTTTAATGCCATTTTGCTGAAATTTATTACTAAATTCTAAACACAGGTAACCAATAACTTTAAAAGTAAATACAGTACATTCTGTGGGACTTTCTTTTCCCATACAAAAGGTATGACACATCCATTACATGGTTGGAACTACAAAACCTAACCATAATAGATCCCAAAGCTGGAACCCTGGTCCACGGACACTCATGGCAAAGCTCCCATTGACTTCAGGGATGGCAATACCTCCTCTAATGTGCAGTATCACATTACTTAAGCTACAAACCCACTTCTTCTATATATACACTATCCAAATTACATAGTGATTCTGACTAGGATTACTATGTAAACTATAGCTTTTAAATTGCTCTTATAGTTACATCATTTTTTTTGTCCTGTGATGCTCACAGCACATTAAATGTAACAGTCTCAGCCAAAAAGATGGAAACTCCTCTCTGCAGAGAAAAGGCTTGTTGCTGCTTTTCCTCAAATTGAAGGAGTCAAGTTAAAAAAGATATTGTGCAATTAAAGCAGGCATTTGTGAGACTATTAATGCTAAACAAGCCACAGCAATACTGTGCTTTTTCAAAGACTGCCTTTTGCATTTATGATTTTATATTTCAGCATTTTCTTCACTTAAATATAAAGTTTCCACGTTCCTAATGTGTATATGCTAAATGTATGCACTCTTTCATGAGTAGAACTGATCTATTTTAGTCATATGGACCTTTGAAAATACTGCCAGTCATTTCCTAGATATTATTATTCATCTAATTAACTCTGTCACTGAAGATAAGCTGCATAAATCAGGAGTTATGCGAGCTTGAAGGATCAAATAAAGTAGGGTATAAGGAGGAATTAAAAAGCATAGCAAAAGGAAAAAAAAACTGCATGCATTTTCTAATGGAGAAGTTGAGGACCTAAAGGACAGTTATTTTCTCAGAAACACAGGATGTACCTATTTAACACATTTCACATTCTTAAAATGGCCTTCAAGTCCACAAAGTTCATTTATTTGGATATAATGGCTACAGCAGAGTGAGCACCAGGAGTGTTCTGCAAAGCTCCACAAGGAAGAGCACAACACAGTAAGGGAATGGATCCTCATGCTTCCATATGTTACAGCGGGCATCTTAAAAATGAACTTACTGGATTGTACATCTGATTGAACAACTGCTCAGCTTGCTACATTGCAAAGTTGGTAAGGAGTGAAGCACAGATAGGAAAAGAAGGAAAGATCCAGGAAAACAGCATTAGCTCAACAAAACTAGTGCATTTGCACAGAAGAACATGTCATTAAAAAAAAAGGAAAAAAAAAAGTAGAAATTTAAGATTCTAAACATTCCTTGGTGAAAGTGAGAGGCACTGGGGAAACATAAATGTTGACTTTGGCTCCTAAAAAAGAATAGCTGGAGTAAGAAACTTAAGGTTTGTGTTACTTTCCCTTTCTCAAGTTAAATAACCCATGAAATAAAGAGAGGTGTCCACTTTTGATGATACATTAAGTGCTGGTCTCAAGCAATGAATCACGAGAAGTGCTTTTGGCTGAGGCTGCAATTTATCACCAAAGCTTCAAAGACAGTAATAATAAAAGATTAATTAAATAGTATCATTAAATTTATTACTTTCCTTTTGTTTAACACAATACTGAATTTTCTATGCAGAATGACTTTCAAACAGTACAGCTTGGCAAATAGTGCTTTAGCAACTGCAAATATGTCAGTAAGCAAGTAAATTTAAGATAATGAAGAACAACAAAGGGAGGAAATTCTGGAGTGGATAATAAAGATTATATATACATACATATATATAAAGCACTTTGCTACCTACTAGGTAATTCATGCTCTTCTTTCACAAGTAGCAATACAAAGTAACTCAACAAAAACCTATGGAATCTGGGGGAAAAAGCATTGACCATTCTCTGGTATTTACAATTTTTTCTTTTAAAATTTTTACAAATTTCAATCCATATTATTTGTCACCAAATGTTCGATAAGCACATCTAGAATTTAAAACATTATTTTTTATAACAAAACATAGCAAAGTCACATGAATAATTGCTTTGTACAAATATTCTCTTCATTATTTTTGAAATGTGCCTACTGAAAAATCATGGGTTTAGAACCAGCATATTTTTTTCTTGCTGAAACGCAAAAAGTCCAGTGTTGCAAGACTGAAAAATATTTGGATCTAATCAGATCCAATAAAATCCATCTTTATTATCAATAAATGAATCCTATTGTCTCCAAAAAACATAAATAGGGAAAGCTGGGGAGGAGAAACTCCAGAAGTTGTTTTGGTGTTTTTTTCTTTACAATTATAGTTTGGACTTGCCCCTTGTGCACATTTTCCTTCAGACACAGCACTTACCACCATTAGTGCTCATGCAAAACTTACTCCCAGCGAGCGTGCACAGAGTACTGTCGTCGTACTTCTTAGTTTAATTTGTTGAAACTTATAAATCAACATTGAACTATAATTATTTTACAGCAGCATAACGAAGTACCTCCTCCATGATATTTTTAGAGAGGAGTACTGTGTAAGCTACTTGGAACTTGTTCAAGGAGACAGCCCCTTGGAGTGGGTTTGGAAAGAGGGAAGTAAACGGTGCCAGATGCCCCTGCTCCTGCAGAGGTGGATGCTCACACGTGAGCACACTCGGGGACACGTGGGGTCATTTATGACCCTGCTGCTGTCCCCTCCTCCTCTGACCCAGACATGTGCAAGAGTGACCCAGGTTTCTGTTTCGCTCACTTTCCTGAGGAGTGAGAACCCAGTGCAGGAATTTTTCTGGGGACCAATTACTTTTAACGCAGGGTATTTACAGGTTTGAACATAAAGTATTTCATTAAAGAAAATGTGAATTGAAAATGACTGTTTGGAGTCTACTGTCATTAACAGTCACTGTTTCTGTTCAATTAAGCATGCCCAGAGAGAAGGTTGTAACTGCATTTTATTGTGGAAATACCTGGTCTCCTACAAATGGTAGGTGAATTTCCATTGGGGCTTTATGCTGTATTTATGATATAATAAAACTATTATGTTTTCAACTTTCATTCAATAATTGTTTGTATTTATACACAAGAAACATGCTCCCGTTTTATACAAAAGACATCCCAGACACCCTCTGACTTTTGTAAGTGCTTGTTTTTCCATGACTGTATGATGTGTTTATATGTACAGTCATAAATGATTGACTTAGGATTTCAAGTCCTTCAAGAGAATTTTGATGAGGGTTTTTTAAGTGATCTGTGCTTCCGGCATTCTTTTAATTATATTTTTTAAATGAAAAAAAAAAATTCAGATTGTAATGAAGTATCTGCTGAAGTGGAATGCAAGTAAGCAAACATTTATTCTAACAAAATAAAGCAAACTAAACAACTTCCAGAAAAACCTTTTTTTTTGAGATTTTAATTCTACCATCAATAGCATTTTTAAGGTATCAAACATTTAAGTTATTTGTGTTTCCATTTGTATATGTTTATTGAAAAAAGCTTCCCTTCCTCTCAACTAAAGATCTAATGCAGGCACCTAACTGCACATATTAATTCTGAATTAAGAAAGAATACAAGTATAAGGTTTACACACTGGTATCCTTTATAATTTGCAATACCTTCTTCACAGGTCAGGCTATTGAAACAATGCTTAATCTGAGCAGGATTCTACTCAACCTGGGTAAAAAAAGTGTCAGAATATTATGCTAACAGTGATAATGTTCACAGAACAAATATTAATTACCAGAAAATGAAAAACTATATCAATATTAAAAAAAAACCAAAACAACACTTGATGTACACTTAGTCATGAATTGCAAAAGGCAAACGTAATGCCTGACCCCATCAAATACGTAATGAGAACAATGAGAGCAGACATTACTACAACACAGAGAAAGGTCAAAGAAACAATGGTATCAAAACACTTGCAAATCATTTAAGCAAAATCTAGTTTATTGCAGCAATTTAAGTAAAACCATGTAATAAAATACAGGGTTTGTACGTTTTCCTTTAAGTGCTTGCTTCCACTTCTTGCTGAATAGAAATACTGAATTGCCAGCTGATACAAACTTTTGACTATTTTGCTTAATTATCACAAACATGTTTACCAACAAAGCCAAAAATACATCAAAATAAAACCTAGGTAGAGGTTTCATTTTAGAAGCTGATTCTTTTTATTAGGAATTCCAGCATTTCTTAGACAAGCCTTTAATTTTCTTCTCATCCTACAAACATTTCAGTTTGCTTCTAAAAGTAGTGTTAATTCACACACATATAAGCTGCTGGTTTGATAATTCCTTTCTGCCCTTTTCCCTCCAATGTCCTGCTCTCAGTTCATCTATTTGTTGCAGCTTCTCAGAATTCCCTCACAGAGGTACTGAGGACAATTTCTGAGGCCCACTAGTGGCTTTGGTACAAACCTCTTGAGAAATTGCAGTACTTGATGCGAGCATCAGCAAACAGCGTAAGATGGGTAGATTCTAGATTTACTCCAGAAGAGTAAATAAGCTCATCATTTCAAAATGAGGGTATGGGATGCTGATTTTTGTTTTGCTGATTGTTTGTTTTAAGATGGAACTTACCTTTTTCAACTGTGCTTCCAACTTACTACACTCTTCTTTCTTTTGTTCTATGGCTATTTCTAAAGACTTAAGTTTGGAGTCTCTTTTCAGCCCTGCTGATGCCAATGAAGATGCATGTTCTTTGAGATCGATTAAACTAGACTGGAAAACGACCAAGAGTAAAGAGTTAATTCCTAGTCACCAGGACACTAACTCATTGCCAACTTAGCAATCACTTGGATCCTGTTTCCCCCTCCCCCAAAAAGAGTTGACTCAAACATAAGCATTGATAGCAAAAGACACCATTTTGTGCATAAACTGGAACCATAGGAGCTGGCATGCAGTGAAACACAAACATTCATAATACAGACAAGATCACGTCATATTTTGGAGGCACAAATACACTGAAAACTATTTCTCTAACTGACAAATGAAAACAGGAGCAGCAATGGGATAGTTGAGCCTAGTGGAATTTTAGGTAAAAGACAAAGTAGAGATTTTGATGCACAACTATGTAAAAACTGAAGTAATATTTTATGTACAAATGAGGACTGTAAAGAATGCTTAAGAAAACAGCAGTTCTGAAGCTGAACACTGGAGTGGCAGAATTTCAGTACTTGACATGATTCAAGAGTAATCCTAATGCACTTTCTTTCATCATAATGACAGAGATAGAAGAGCAGAGTTTTTAAGAAAAGACTGACCTCTTTTTCTGTCAGTTCAGCTTGTAAAGCATTAACTTTCTCCTTCAGGTCCTTGTTTTCTTTTTTATAAGATTCAATTTCTTCAAGTCTTTCTCTGTCATCTCGATCCCTTTGCTCCTTCAGACGCTCTATTATTCTTTCCTAACAAATGAAAGAATTGCAGAACAGAAAAGTTGGAAATCATTTTAAGACAGCATTAAATTTGTTTGCATTTTGTAGCACTTAAAAAAAACCACAAAAGCAGAGGATGATTGAGTTAATAGAATAAAAAGTCAATGCAAGATTTCTCTCGATTTCAATATCATAAGATCAAGTTTTTAAATATTTGGTAAGAGTAACACAGTACAGGAACTTCATTAAAGAGCTATACTACTGATATGAGTATGTTTAGTTTTGTGATAGACGTGGAAAGATATTCACTTCAATAATGTATTTCTTGTATTCATACATGATTGAAGTCTTGAAAAAATTTCAAATCAAGCCCTGAATAGTTTCCTCACAGGCCATGAACAGTTTTCTCAGCTTCAACTTTGTTACTGCTCTACAGTGCTTGCAATAAGATGTCAAAATTCCAGATCTAATCAGCCATTTTCTATCAGTAACTTACAGTTTACACATATTATATTTTGAGATGTTAAAAAAAAGACACAGAAAAAGTACCCTGATACAAATTAAGACACCCAAAGGAAGATTTTTCTCTGTAACCCTACAGGCATTTAAAACTCAGCCATTTTTCTGCATATTTTGCTGATTTCCAGTAACTACTTCAAGGTTTGCTGACAATCATCAGTCATTGATTGGATGGTTAATTCAAAGGGTGAAATTGAAAAAGCAGACTCAGTAGTATGGTTTCATTAAGCTCTGATTATGTTCTACAAAATCACATTTCATCAATACTTGAAGGATACAAATACTAATCAGAGAGAAATGCTTAGGGTACAATGAAATGACCACTAGAACTGCATTTCAACTGGAAGCAAGCCTTTAAGCAGAGTATCAGGAGAACTACTGGTATCACTGAGTGGTGGCAGCGAGGGGGGCAGTAGAAGCAACATAATTTAGGTCGGCACTTGGACCAGGGCAATCCCAGGCTGGGCAGAGAACAGACAGAGCAGCCCAGAGGAGGAGAACTCGGCTGTGTACAGTGACACAAAGCTCCACATGACTCGGCCGTGAGCACTCGGAGCCCAGAACTCCACCTGTGCTCCTGGGCTGCATCCAAAGCAGCGTGGCCAGCAGGTCAGGGGAGGTGACTCTGCCCCTCTGTCCTGCCCTGCTGGCACCACCTGGGGAAGAACCATCCAGCTCTGGGGCCCCACACAAGGACACAGATGTGCTGGAGAGGCTCCCCAGGAGGGTCAGGGAGATCTAAGGGCTGAAACAACCTGGAAGGTCGCTTGGAGGGTGTCCCTGCCCACAGCAAGGGGGTTGGAACTAGGTGATGATTTTAACATCCTTCCAATCTAAACTTATGATACTAAATAACTTCAGGTTTATTCCTAATAAAAACCAATGCAAATTCTTAATACCTTGAATATTAATATCTAAGATGCCAAGCTCCAAAAAGTAGAATCGCTTAATAAACTATGACATAAACATTCAGATAAATGTTCAGATAAATGTACATAAACATTCAAATAAACCATAAGCATTCCGATTCCACCTGGTTATATTCAGAATTAATTTTTTACCTATTCCTTCTTGAAGATTTATTTACCCAAATGATTTTTTCATCTACAACAAATTAAACATAACACTATTTCATCTTTTTAATGAACAGTATATTTTTTTCTCAGTCAGTCACAAAAGAAGACTAATTTATCTGTCAGCTGCATAAGGCTAAATGTCAAAAATGTGTTAAAAGGCCCTAATAAACCATGTTTTGCTTGATTAACAGCTAACTTGCAGAAATCCCAACAATGTGTTCTTGTTTCAGTCTTGTTTGCATTGGGCAGCTTTCCTTGTGCACTAATCTGGGACCTCACAGGTCTAATCTATTTGCACTTTATCACAGAAGCAGGAACTGAATTGCCTAGCATATAGCTCCATTATCAGACATACTCCATTGCTTATCTGCTGTATGCTGCTGCAGTAGGACCAACTTTATAAATATCAGCTTCATGAAAGCAACCTCTTGAGCTGCTTTGGGCCAGTCCAAGAGCTGAGATATTCTTTGAAAAGTTTCTTGTTACAACATCAAGGCAGCTGATAGCACTTTTGCATAGTCTGATTTTCAAAACTTTTTTTTCTTTTTTAATCACAATGTAATCCTTATTATTGTTGTTTCAAATCTTCAGTGCTCAGAAGAGGCTCTGAAATCAGGGATAAATAGTGGAACAAATATGTTTTGCAGCTTAGTTCCAAAATTAACTCAAAAACGAGTGAAGTTGATTTGTTTCTGATTCCTGACAAGAAAACAAATCACACCAGCAATATCATCAGATAAATTATAAGATTAAAAGAAGGAAAATTTGACATTGTTTTATTATGTCGATATTAATTTCCCATTTAATCTTACCAAGATACCTAATCACTAAATACAAAAGAAAAGCAAGAGATAAATACTTGGAAAAATCTATTTTCATAAAGAATAAAGGAGACACATTTTCTAATTCAGAGCCAAAATCTTAATATTTTTTCAATTTTTTTTTCAAAGAAAAATGCAGGAAAACAATTGAGTTTTGGAATTTAAAAATAGCTTTATAATTCATTAATATCATATGATCATGTTTTAATTTGTTTTTTTTCTTCCTATAGAAGCTAAGAAAAGCAACTCAGATTCAAGTAAACTGTGGTTATGAATAAATTTTATTTCTGTTTTAAAAGAGCTTCCCATGATAGTCTTGAAGAATTTTATTCATTATTCTTAAATTAAAATTCTGAAACTACTGAATGGACAAAGAATTAATATAATGCAAAAAGTAGTTTAATCTCAGAGTATATAGAAAAAATTATATAGTTGAAAAGTAGGTCTGATACAATTTCTAGAAAGAAAAACAAAGCACACAAACAGTGCATTTCCATGGATATGGAAACCAGGTATTCTCAAATGAAAGCATCATCCCTTCTTGACAGCATTACATATGAATTGATAAAAGCACTTATATTGATGCACTTGTTAATAAACAACTCACTAAGGGTTCCTGTTTTGTCCCATATGGGCAAGCCTCTATTTCATATTTCTACCAATATTCCCAGTGGAAATGTTCAATAACAATTGATAAAGTCTGTATGTCTTAAGAATGCTACTGCATAAGAAAGTTACTGAGAGCAGTTAGGAGGAATTGGGAAGCTGACACAGAAATGAATGAGGCACATGTGTAAACAGACACTGTCAAAGTATTTAGCTGCCAGAAGACACAAGAAAAACAGGTGTAATAGTCCACTTGGAATTTCTAGAGGATGGCTACTGGCTTCTTTCAGTGTGTAAGTTCATCCCAGAAATCACCCTTGACTTCAAAAAATCTGCCCTTCCAAGTGTGGCCTTCAAAGGACAATGGAAAAGAAATTGAGGGTGATCTCTCTGTACAACAATCAAAATCCTACAGAGATGCATTTACCTTGGAAGCTTTCTCCTCCTTGTGGCTCATGCTCTCCGATCAAGTATCTCATTTTCCAAATGCTAATCTGAATCCTAACGCAGCAGTGTTGCTTGCCTCCTATGCCTCCTACTCCTGTGCAAGTCTCCATTGAGACAGTAATTCTGCTTCCCAAATGACTGTTTTAAAAAACCCTCAGCCACCTCTCTGGGCATCTTGGGAAAGTGACTAATCCAGAAAAGATAGCTTACAATGAGAGAAAACAGATTAAAAAGTACTTTGTCATTTTTTTAATAACATGCTGTGAAATTGATGAACACTGTGTCCAGATTAGCAATGAAAGATTACAGAAATGTGTAATTTTACTGTATAAATAAATGCTTGTCCACATGAATCAATACCAAATAAGCATTTTTTTCACTCTTGTTTACCAAGCAAATGCTAGGAAATCAATTAAGCACACAAGAAATAAAAAAATCTGACATTAACATTGTATGTGTCAGTGCCAACACCACAGCAGCATTTTCAAGTCATATGCACTCATAAATACCTTCATAGGATTACACACTGCAGAATGGCACATATTACTCAACTGTTCACATTTAAGTAGTATATATTAAGATCTGTGAGCTGAAAAATGTGGTTATTTGTACTAATTTTTTTGGCATATAAATTCACTTGCATTACCTCGTATTCAAAGTGAACTGAAAGAAGAAACCTGACCTCAATGAAACTGGTAGGAATGTTGCCACTAATTTAAACAGTCCAGATTTATCCCTTCTCCTTGATATTTTCAAATCAAAGGCATAGAGTTTGCGAAGAAAAAAAAAGGGATTGTTCATTTTTTTTTTTTAATTAAACACTTTCTGTTAAAAATGAAGTGTAGGAAGCCAATAGTGCTCACAGCAAGCCAAGGTAACAGTTGGTACAGCCATTTGCTCTTGGCCCCTGCTTAATGGGCCAAAGAACAGGATATTCAAGATCACAAAGACAGAAAAATGCCCAAAACTCTACCTTCTTTAAGTCAGGTGTCCAATGCCTTTCAGTTCTTTCAGGAAATAACCACTCACCTCATTGACTAAGGCAAAATCTTCCCATGTCCTGGGCCATTTTCTCCATAAGCATTCAAAGGACATCACTCCTTCCCCTGGCAGTCACTCCCTGCTCATCCTACCAGAACAGAGCCACCTGCTTCCCTGACAAGGCCCTAGCCTTTGGCAAAGCTGTCAGGCCAACCCAGAAGAACATTTTCTGCACACACTCCACCCACAAGAGCAGCACAGAAAGGATTTCATGAGAGAACATTACCTTTTCTGATAGAGCTTCCTCTAAGGTTGCTAGTGCTGTGTCTGTATTACTGGAATCCGTCTGCAGGGACTTCACTCTGTCTTTTAGATTAGTTAGCTGTTTGTCTTTGTCCCTAAGTTGCTCCTGTAGATTTTCAATCTGTAAATAAAACCATTACAATAATCACCAACCTTGTATAACGTTCCAAGAGGGACTTGAGTGCATACACATCACACACATTGTACTGCCAGATTTGTAGCTGCTATAGCATCAACAGATTTAAACTTCAGTCCTATTTTGTTTTCTTTTGCTCAAGAAGTATAATTTTCCAGTAAAATAAAGGGAAAATCTCACTGCAGTCAGGTATTTTATTATTTAAATATTTTCTGATGTTAATCACTCTAGTTTAAGGTACTGCGTTATCTCAGTAATTCAAAGTATGTCTGGAATTACCCCTTTAGATTATTCTAGTTCAATAAGAAGGACAAAGAAAGGGTGAGGCAAAGCAATTTGAGTGAGCCTTAAAATGAGGAAGAAGAAAGATTATAATCTGCCTATTTAAAAATCGCTTCTTCCATGATGCCTTGCTGTAAGGAAAACTCAGCTGGGCAGAGATCAGGATGTTTATTCTTAAAAAAGCCAAACCCACAAACACCCAAACAAAAAATCTCAAGGGGCAATACTTCCACTCACTTTCTTCACCTCTGTGAAAATTTAAATATGTCACTTTATTTTGGATATTTTTACTTCTTTAAATAAAGCTGGTTCCTCATCTAGACAGTATTTGAATATTGCTAAGGTATCTCTAAGCTCACGGTCATGATTTCTAGCGGTTAATTCAGGAAGAGCTAAATCACAAAGGTTTTGCACAAAAAGTTGTCCACAGAGCAATGTGGATTTTGGAAGCAAATGTGAATAAAAGCACTCAGCTGCTGATGGTCATGGCAATCCCTTCTGTGGCTGTAAGGCACTGTGACCTCAGGGCAGAATGCAGCAGGGTGTGTGTTATGTCAGATGTGTAAAATTTCATTAATTGTCTGTTGGAAGAATCCCCCTCCCTCCATCCTGCGCTCTCAGTGCCACTCATTATGCTCCAACTGGCACAAACCCAAGATTTGTTACTTAAGACTTCACACAAATAAATAGTAACAAGAAAATTAACTGCTCTGTTATTTTAGTATGCCACTTCAGATAATATAAGAAAATATGCCAAAATCCATGAAGTATCATTTGTTCAAAACTGGTTTTAAATATGTTGTCAACATTGCACAAATTATTACTGTCAACAGATATTCAAATTCTTACTTTCATCAGTGTTTTTTTCAGTTGGGATCATGTTCTCTTGCTACTGAAATGAATTAAGTTTTCCTGTTCATTTTATAATGACTTTTTTTTTCACATAGCCAATATCTTTCCATTTAAAGCAACTCCGACTTTAATAGAAGCAGAAGCTTTTACAGTTACTTTAAAGATTTCTTTACAAATGTGAAGTTGAATTCAATGCATGTGCAGCTTTGCAGAAGTCAGCAATTACATCAATAAAAATTTGATCTCCATATGCAAGAAAGTACCACCATAATCAAATACACTTTAATTTGGGGCACACCTTGGTAAAAATTCTCCTCCTACTACATTATACAAGTGTGGGAGAAAAAATCCTGAAGTTTTGACATCATATATATCTACAATTAACAAGTCATAAAATCCACAGTACAGCTGTGTGCACTGCATAAAGTGTGTTTTTAAAAAAATAAATTTTAAAAGAATAAAAATTATAACAAAATTTGAAAGTAAATTTGGAGGAGCACAAAGCAATTAGATATTCTTTACAGTGTGTCAAATACAAGTCTTGTAACTTTTTTTCTTTTTCCTTAATATACATTGTTTGGTATATCATATTACTGCTATGAGCCAAAGATTCCACTTGCTATATAAACTATAAAATACTAAGGAATATATAGAAAGCTCTTTTTGGGAAGACCTGACATAGAATAGCTTACTCTTGTGAATGACCTCTTGCAATATTTTTCTTCATGTGTATATTTTATACAGATACAGAAACATGATACACGTGTTAATGAGTTAAGAACTTTTTATTTTATGGCATGTGTATTAGTCACATCTAAAATTACATTAACTGGCATTCAGAGGACTGCACACTATGTTTCTTTCTTTACTTCATCCAAGTATTAATGATTCCAACAACCACCTCATGACACCCTGTGGAATACTTAAGCAATTGCACATTTCAGCTTCACCAAAACAAATTCTCAAGTAAAAGGGAAATAAAACAGGAGAGTGAATATTGATTACATGTTCTTTGAAACAAAGTTAAGATCTGGTCCTTTACTATCATCAGCTTGACCTACCAATTCTAGGCACCCTAAATTAAAGTACTTATTTCCTATGCACAGTGCTTATCTGAATTCCACAGCATTTACACGATTTCCTTCCTTTTAAAACTAATTGAAAATATGAGCCAACCCTTAACCAAGAAAACATGTTCTAAAATTATTCAGCATTTACAAAATTCTTTCCTCAGAGGTAAAAGAGAACAGGCAGCAAATTAAAAACATCCCCATTGAATCACAACTGCTTTAAAATAAGTCACTCAATACATACTCCATAGATAAAATAAGAGGAAAGGATCTAATTATTCTTCTATTTGTGCTATATAAAACTGAAGGAAATACTTTGATGGGAACAGGACCACACTGGGGTATGCTAAAATAGAATCAGTACCACAGAGTATTTACTCTTTGGGATGGGCACAGGATTAGCAAAGACTACTGACGCAGACAAGACTTTATGATCAGTTCATCACAGAGTTTTCTCAATAATATTACAGAAGACAAAGAGATGGAGAGGTCTCACATGCTAAAATCTTGGAACACAAGATATGATTTAGTTCTTCCTGAGATTTTTAAATCCAGAAAGAACAACAAACCCTCTGGTAACCTCTGTCATTCTCCAACACACACATATATTTGGTACAAGCATTTATGTAAGAATACAATTCTATTATTGAATAATGACTTTTGAGCATGCCTGAATTCAGTTTATGGCAGGGACTGTCAAGACCTTCTTAACCCTCAAGTACTTATTTTTTCTGATAGGAAGTTAGTTACTGTGAAGTTTTGTCCACATCTTTTTCTTACCACTGTAAACTGCTATGTCCCTGTGCCAGGATGAAAAGAAAGTGCTCTATTCTTTCTGTATTTCACAAAGTGTGTATATTCCCAGGGCTTAACCCAGATTTTATTCCTTCTTTTAAAACAATATCCTTTCAGATAAATGTCTTTCCTATGAGACATCCTGTCAATAAACCTCAAGTGCTAATCTTGTCGCCTTTTGGCGACAGTCTCAGGAATGCTTATTAAATACTCAAGGGATTAAATTAAATCTCACCCGCAGACAGGCTTTAAAAATCTCCAGTAACTCAAGTTCTCAAGAGAAAATTCCTTTCATTGTGAAAATTAAGGTACTGTACTATGGTATTTGCAAGAAAATTATATAATCAAAGAAAATGTTCCATGCTGTAACAATTTGCCTTCAGAGCTACGCATTAAAGTATAAGAGAATTTAAGAACCTGGAAGAGAGAAATTATCTAAGACTTCTTGGTCCTAGCTAATGAAACCATAAAGCCATATATTTAAACTTAGCAGAAAGTATTTCCCTCTCTTCTTTGTATTTGAGTTTTAAATAACTCAGACAATAAGTATTTTGTAACAATGGGGTTTTTACTCCAAAAAGTCATTTTGCTCTATTCTAAATTTCTACAGGCAGAAGTCTTTGAGATTTGTTTCATATTGAAGCACAGACCATGTCAATTCCAGTGAAGTAGATTAGTAACATAAATTTAGTCTTATATAAATTTAAAATTGAAACCTAGGAGAGAAAACAGAACTTCTGTATGTATCATTTGCATTAATTACAAAAAAAACCCCAAAACCTTTGTATTTTAAGAAATTAAATCATATGAAACAATTTTCCAAATACTGTTACAGCCTATTTTAAATAAGTAATGGCATTACAAGAAAAAGGGCTTTAATAAGCAGCATTCATCCAACATGAGCATTATCTATGACTACTTTAAAACTTAGTATTCATTTTCAGACTTTAGCTTCTGCCTTATAGATAGCAAAAGACAAAAGTAATGTAACTATTAATCAAAACAGAAAAAAAAAGGCATAGTTCAAACATAAAACTAAATGGCTACTTACACGTAATTTATTTTTATTAATAAGACATATGGTAAATGTTCTGTCTCATATGGTCCTTTTCAGAAACATTTCAGGATATCCCAGAACATGAAACCAGCTTTGGTAGTGACCCAGCAAAATAGATGTCTACAGACATCCCAACATCTCCTTTTTGGTGTCTGTTGATGTGAGCATGCTTAATGTGTAATGAAAAAGCTGGATAAAAATTAAATTACCCTACCATGACTAAAAATATTACTATCTGAGTAGTAATAGTAGACTTAATACAGAGGTATAGTTTTTGGAGAACACTATTGATTTTTAGGAATTTTTTTTTTATCAAGTGGTGTACAGTTATTAAATATCATATCAGGCAAAATATCTTAAAATTAACAGGCTCTACAGAAGCTATTTGAAGTTTCAGTCTATGGAGTGAGAGGGGAAAATTTCCTTAGAACCACAATACTACCTAAATGTAATTCTTAGTTTAAGCAGAATTTCCAATAATAAAATGAACCCATTGAAGAACAAATTCTGCGTCAACAGTTTGACCCTGCAGATTGCCTTTGGACTTGAAAGAGACTGCCCCAAAAGTGCTTCCTGAACCAGTGCCAGTTACTTTCACTTTTTATTCAAGTAGGTAGATGGACAAGCATTAACTAGGAATATTTTTTCAGAAGTAAAATATTACATACTTTTAGATTCCAAAAACTAAAATGTTATGTTTTAAAAATTGTCTTATAATTCACTACTCCTTAAAATATTATAAACTAGGGGGTTGCTGCTTGCAGCTGAATATGTTCATTAATGTGTAAGATTTGTACTAATCTTCTGCTTGACTAATGTAAGTGGAAAAAACCTTGTTAATCTTAATTTTATAATGACATGATAAAATACTCTTGGATTCCATAATTAAATATCCACTTAAGTGCTTGATTATGTCTCAAAAGAATAAC